GCGAGGCAAAACGGCAGCTCCCTTGTGCCGGATCTGCCATTTGCGAGAAACGCGTTCGCCCATCTTTAATGTCACGGACTCAATACGGAGAAATAGACGGCCGTATATGGAGCGACATTTTGATGAAGCGCTCGCTCCCCGTCGCGGTTACTGCCGCACGGGTTTTCGTCGCATACACGGTGAAATCGTCGTTGCGTTACGTCACGTTACTACTTCAAACGGACTCGTTAGGATGGTTAGATGCACTTAAGGTGTTTCCGTTGTGCCGCGAAGCGACTTGCTCTACATGCTCAACTCTCAAATTCGTCAGCCATTGTGCACTCGCGGCTGATACTTCAACCCCCTTTGATCCTTCGAACGCGTTCGATTCTTCACCTGTTTGTATTCTTTTTACAAACGCAAGTACACCCGACAAATAGATACATTGTGTTATATTTTCATAACGCATTATGAACCCGAGTCGAAATTTTGGGCCTATGTTGAACCTTTAATTCTATAATATGGTAGGACCTAAGATAGTAGATGAGGTCGGACTGTAAGTACAAAATTTACTCCTACTTTAAAACTGATAGTGTCGGAAATTTTTATTTTTGTCAACTTAGCATTAAAGTAGGTCCTTTTAAGGAGGAGCTAAAGTAAATTTTTAGAATGAAAGATTCAAGGCAGGCGTAAAAAAATATAATGTCATCATAGTAGGTTATTGTCTGTCTATGTAGGTGTATAGATCGGCTAGATAGGCGTAAATTATCCTCAAAAGTATCAAAATAGTACCAAAATTTCGACTCGGGAATTACTGGGCAATTAGTTCCACAGGTGAACATAACGGAAAGACGTATTTCCCCTCCCATCTAAATCCATAAATTAATGAAGTAAAAAGCGCGGCTAGCCGCGACGTTTGATATAGTGCACATAACACATTTATCCGTGCGGTTTGTGTAAATTTAGCTGTGTTCCGTGCAGGATAAGTAAAGGGCAGATTGTGTCCGTCTGTGAGAGCGGATGTTCACGACGACGATGTCGGTGGCGGCGACAGCTCACGGACCCGATGCGAGAAATAGACGCAATATATACGAAGGACGTTGCGGAGTGTTTAGACGTTAGCTACGTAGGACCGTCGTGCTATCGTGGATTATATGTATCCCTTTATTTGTGTGTAGATAAACCAACGCGCGGGCGTGTGTACAGACGGTTCAGGCCGGATTTTCATCTCGTCCACGAGCGAGATTCGGGTAATCTTATGTACATCCGAAATATATACACGGCGATACCGCGTACGGGTGTTTCCTCGTTCTGTTTTTTTTTTGGGGTTTTCCAAGAACGCTAAAGAGCCCTCAATTGAACGCGGTCGGCGGTACGCAAGATTAATTTTTGCCGACCGATATAAGGGACGGCGCAGCGCGAGGGAGAGACCGGAGACGCGGCTCGAATCGAAGGGTTCGCGGGGTGAAACCGCGCGGTAACATACCTCCCAGGGTCCCGATAAATACGGATCCCCGGCGCGAGCGCCGCGCACTGTTCCGAGCGGGAGATTTATTTTCACCGCACATTCTGAAATGATGACCTTTTACGCTGGATTTCGCCGCGCGCGCGCGCGCGCGCTACGTAGGAAAGATACAAATCACTTCTGGACGTTCGGCGGTTACGAATGGCGCGCATCCTACCGTATATACACTCGAAACCCATCGCTCGCTCTCCTCAAGAGAGTAAATTCCGTCGACACGTATCCCGGACACGGGCTGGACGGTCTTCGAAATTCGTTTCGCGCGACAGCCTCATCCGCCCGAATCGGATACAGTCGGAACGTGTGATTGAGTCATAATCACGCGAACACTCTTGCTTAAGCGAATGCTGGAGTGATTCTGCACCTTTTGCACTGTTTGCATCTAGAACTGCCAATTCGTGAAAACATTGTTGCAATGCACGAATGACTCGTCGATTGATGTCGAAACGATGTCGAATCGACATCGACACTGTCGAACTCGATGTCGACTCGGTATCGTTTCGACGAATTGTTTCTCACTGGGAAGGCTTTTATTGCGTACAAATCGAAAGTGTTCTGCTAATCGGACTAGATCAGAGAACAGCGTGGTATTATTGAAGCTAAGTTTAGAAGCCTAAAAAGACTTTTTTGAGCGAATATATTTCTTGTTAGGCTTCTAAACTTAATTTCAACGATACCACACCCTCAGAAAGAATTTCTGTTACTGAGACAAAAAAATATTTTTGATGCATTTATATTTCTCACAACCTCATTTAGTATAAAACTAAGACAATATCTAAATAAAATCAATAATTTTTATTCTCCTCTATCGAATTGAAAAAGATTGACTTACTATATTGGGACAAGAATAACTTGATATATTCTTACGTTTAGAATAAATTTTCCCTCCACCTTACAACGCACGAAGTTAGCACCGCGATACTCGACAAAAGACGATACATACTGTCAGTTTATTCTAGATTTTATAATTTTTCATTTAAGATTAAAGTATTCCTTTCTCTATAATAAATATGATTGGCGCTATGTCGATCCTATTTTATGATACATTGAAGTGTAATAGCATTGGGTCTGGATATTTTTTCTGTGGGTGTATGCTGTTTCCTGGTTTAGTCCGAATAGTGGGTTACTGTCGGCCCGTACGCAAAAGCCACACAATTTGTATATTACACAAATGTTTTCATGCGTTCATTGGCAGTTCTAGGAGCAAAGAGTGCAGAGTCACTCCAGCATCCGCACGCGTTAGTTTTACAGCTAAGTAACAACTAATCCTAAAAATACTGTTAAAAGACCTCGTATACTCACTCGCAAATATGTCAGTTATATTTCCTGGCGTCAATGATATTAACGTTAAAACAGCTTTATTTTACTTTAAATTTGCAAGTATGTGTACAGGTGAAAGTAAGAGTGATGACGATTCACTGTTTGAATGTAATAATTGAATTGGGAATGGCAGCGTTTCGTGATGAAACGCGCAAGGCCACTGTTGTCGATGGAAAGTTACGCTGGATAGTGCATAATGCATCACGTGTACACAATATTGTTGCACGAGACGCGGATATTCGCTCAGTGACGGCTTACAAGCGAGTTGCACGTTGTTTGTTCTTGTAATTCTGCTATTTGCCAGGCTGTGTGATACACTTATGGCCGACGACGTTCCAAATTATAACTCCCTGAACGTGGAGAATCAACGCGGACGTTATTACCGCGGGAGAGCGCATTATCGCTTAAGTGCAGTGTCATTATTTCGATAGCGGGGATAATATTCGGCCATAATAGTTTTAAGACGTCTCGAACGAGGGAGGAGAATCCACGAAATCATTAGCGCTCTGGGGAAAAAAAAGATAGCAACCCATTTTGGGGTCCACAATTAGTAATTAATAATTAGTAATTAATTACGCGGGGTAAAATTCGTAAAGGACTAGAGTTATGAATTCGTAAAGGACTAGAGTTACGAACAATCTAAATAATTCGATTACTAATTGTGGGCCCCAAAATGGGTTGCTCACTGTCTCTTTTTTTCCCCAGAGTGGTAATGCGAGTTTAGGATCAGCCGCACGTCTAGGAAAAGTAAAGTTATATTTTTTCTTCCTTTTTCGAGACCATTCTCGATTCAAGTTATATAATTACGCGATATCTAGTGCATTAGCATTTTTTTCGCATACGTGCACGGAAAGATGAAAATGCAGATTGTATTTAAATATGTAACGAGAATACACGGCCGCGCCCTGCGCGCGATTTATGTATGTTTGCCCAGCGTCAGTCATCGCCGGCTTCTCTACTCCTCGTTTTTCCGGACTCGTCGTCGTTTTCCCGGTCCACCTCGCTCTCGCCCGGGTGCCAAAAGTTCAAAGGCGAACCCGCGAAGCGAAACCGTCGCATCGTCCGCATTCGCGTGCACGCCGCGAAAATGGCTCGCCGTTTGAGTATCGCGACATCGATTTGCCGTCGGGGAGCCTTAGAGCGAAAGATTTGAGAGTTTTACGCTTTACTATCCCCGTAATCCACATACGCCTGTTATCGGTAAAAGTACGAGGCTCGCTGCGCGCCAGGATAATCGTTGAATTTATAGCAACGTTGCGCCGCATCCAGCTGCGAGACTGATTTTCGTTTGCCGAGTCTCGCGACACCGGTGTACTGGAGTCGAATATCAAAGAGCAGAAAAGCGCGTATAAAAAACGGGACAATCCGCGAAATAATTCATCGAGCGACGGTTGAACTCTGCGTCTGTACAACTGAACTGTAATTAAGCATTTTTCAGAATGTCCTGATCATAGACATAGTAAATATAAGCGTCCCATTGAATAAGCTGAAGCTTGTGAAGAGGGAGACAGAGAAGATTTAAGAAGACTTTCTTTCTCCGTCCCGCCATCGTGACAAGGGAGAATCACGCCTGTGTAGTACCACGCAGGCACGATTCTTTTCTTTTACGATGGTGTAAGACAGAGAAAGAAAGTCTTCTTAAATCTTCTCTGTCTCTCTCTTCACAAGCTTCAGCTTATTCAGTGGGACGCTCAGTCTATATTTACTATGTCTATGGTCCCGATTATCAGATATGTCACGATTGTCATCTGTAATTTCATTCATTAATTTTCTGTACCGTTTATCGGCTCAGCATCTCGTACATAACGTACAAACGTAAATGCGCATTAACACCGCCTCTGAATCTCTTACCACTCGATCTCCATTTCCTAATCTCGGGCGCATTTCTGTTTCATTCATCTCTTATCTAGGGATCTAATTAAACTTTTAAGACCATCTAATTCTCGAAAATCCCCCAGCGTTAAAAGTATCACTGACTGATCTCGCTCGATTTATCCAGCTAGTATCGTCGAAATCCTTGAAAGTGCCAGCGAGTGAGATTCGCTAGCGATTGTCATTGGCGTACGATTATATCCGTTGTAAAATAATTGAAGCGAAATCCCGTCGCGAGTGACAAGATAATTAAGTCCTATTTCGAGGATGGCTTTGACGTAAATCTTATTAACAATTTGTATTTCAGGGGACACCGCGCCCGTGCGTTACCTGTCTCTGAAAACCCTTCTACCGGAGACCCCCGGTTACATGACTTACGAGGGCAGTACAACGCACCCCGGTTGTTGGGAAACGGCGGTCTGGCTGATCCTCAACAAACCAATTTACATCACGGCGCGAGAGGTAAACGTCCGGTCCCCCCAGTCAATGATTTACCCGAATTTCCCCCGGCATATTTTCCTTCTCTCGCCTCCTCCTCCTTTCGGGAGCTTGCGGGAGTTTGCGTGCCTCGCAATAATAATCAAATCATCGAAAGTAGCGGCCGACACGGTAGGGCGGCACCAAAATACAATAGTTTTGTCGATACTGTTGGATCAATCAACGGATCCTGCCCGTCTATAGCGCGCCATTGTTTCTGTTATTAGCTGTACGCCCTAAGGAAATTAATGCAGGGCCCATCCAACACGCCGAAAGCGCCTCTCGGTAACAATTCCAGACCGCTGCAGGGTCTTCATTATAGAACCGTGCGAACGAATATCGATTTTGCCAAGGTAATATAACGCAGCGATTATGTCATTCGATATTTCGTGCAAAGAAGCGTGTCAATCAGGGTAATTGACATATTGCGGTAAACTTAATATTAGCATATCTATTAAAGGATTCTTAAAAGAAGACACAAATATAGGTGCTTTTTTCAAGATTTTTTCATCAAACAATATAAAATATGAATTGTATCTTGCAATTAGCGCAATTATAAAATTATAACTATAAATTTAAATTTAAATAGTAGCTATTTTTTCGTATTTTTCAGCGTTAAATAAATCGCTCGGAATATTTAATTCCATTTTTTTCTACTATCTGTAATCTACCATTTATTAGAAATTTATCGGTAGAAAGTACCTTCGCTATAAATATCTTGATTGATCATAAAAGAATCAATCTCGCCGGTGCTTCTCGCGGAACTGCAACTTAAATGCACTTTCTGTGTTATTCCGGCAGCGGGGAAACGCCAAGTGTCCGTCGATGGCGCAGGACATGCATTATAGAGGTAACACACGATGTTAGCCAGGCTCTAGGAGCCCCTAAACTTCGTGCTCCACCGCGAAGGGATCGTCTCGATGAGAATTTGAAAAGATGACTTTTTCCTTCCAGCCAACACGTGGCGGGACGACGGTTCCCTATCACATAACGTAGTCTGAGGCCACCCCGCGGCAGGACCACGAGAGGGGACTTTTCTCTAAAGGAGCGGAACGAAACGAGTGACGCTACACAAAGACGGGAAGAGGGGCGCGGTGGTAAAGGGCTAATTTCTGGGGGAACGAAGAAATTGTGTCGTGGCTGTGTGAAAAGGGAGAGAAAGAGAGAAAGAACAGTAAATTTGAATACGGTTGTAAGTCCACGCAAAATGAATACCGTAATAACTCCCGAAATGGACGAAGAATTATAATGTAACCGCTATGTCATGCAGAAGTTATATGTATACAATTATCTGCAAATTATATATCACGTATAATGTGCAGATAAGTTTGCAACATGAATTGAATTTCGTTTTATTCTCCGGAGTAGCGAGGACAAAGTTGCGTGTTGCTACAGCGCTAACGTAATTCTCGTAACACGAGTGATCAAAGGAGCTTTAAGTGTCTTGTTGGGATACAGATTTTCGTTTAATGCTGTTTGTAAGTTTACGCATTGAAGACTATAACAGTTATCAAGGATGGGCGCAGCTTAAAATAATACGTATTATTATAAATTACGTTGTCTATGTGTGTACATACACGTACGCGCGTATATGTATGTATGCAGATGTGCACATATATTATATATACATATACATATAATTTTGTAAAATGGACAATAGCACTTTCAGATAACGGATGATTCCTATAGCGACAAGATAGGCGTTGTCACATAAGGTAAGAGAACTTTTTTAAAATGCCCATCGTTGATAAAATTACGTATGATCAATATGTTTTCACACGAAAGGTCGCGAAAATACAATGTACGTTTGAATGAATTAATCCCGCTGATGAGCCTGTGAATCGGTCGAGTTATTTGACAGGTTTTTGTCAATTACTTGGTAGCCAATGGCGATACGACGTGAACGATGTAAAGCGAAAACCATTACGAAACGGGGGGTGGGAAAATGGGATGGGGGAAATGAAGCGGAAGCGCGGGAAGAAGCGGGACGATCGTGATGGATCTCGGTGGAAGATACAGAAGAAGAAATAGCCGGTATCTCGTTGGAGGAAGAGGAGGAGGCGAAGAGGCGGAGAGCAATTTCGTAATAGCTCCGGGATAGAGAGGAGTAGGATAATAAAGAAGGAATGGTTCGGAAGAGGAAGAGATTAGGATGAAGTCATGTGGTAGATCAATCGGGCGGAAGAGAACGCTGGCTCTCCGTTAGCTTAGCCGATGGACGAATAATCCGGCGCTTTTGTATATAAAAACACAGAAAATGTACACGAACAGACATTACCTAAAATAGACGTTAAGCAGCGGAAGACTCTTAGGGAGAAAAAAAAAGCCGTGTGTATAGAGAATAAAGTTGTATCATATGAAAAAGTGAACGTTTAACAATTGTGGTTAATAAGCAAACGGTAATAATAAAGGCGACGTTATATTGTACAGCAACAGCGATCGCTGTTTCTCTCCCCTCTCTCTTCCCCTTCTCGTTTACCGTTCACGTATTTACGTGATCGATTCTAATATCTCGTTTTTACTTTTATATAGGTTCCTCCAAGCATCCCCTCCTGCTTTTGCGCCATTCTACGATTGGATACGTTCAGCGGTAATCTCGTCGAATAATTTACACGGTATCGTACATCAATGTTACGAGGAGAAATATCGAAGGCGTAAATTAATAAATTCCAATAACCCGCTAATCTCCGAACCAGAGTCGCTTAGGTGAAAGTTCGATTCAGCGCGCCCCTCAAAGTTAGGCATTACAAATTTCTTCGTCGACGTGCGTCAAGGGTAAGGTAAAGTTCCGACGGCGCTCACGAAAGTTTCGGGCTCCCGAGCATCGGGACCGCGCTCGATCCAAAAATTCGAGCGTGCTGACAAATTATCTGGGACAAAACTGGGTTGAACACTGGCCTGAAGTTCATGCCTCGGCCTGTGAGACCACGTTTCATCCTTAATTAATTATCTACGGCAGTAATGGCGAGCAACTTTCGCGGGTCGCTTCTCCCTTCTCCCTGTCTCACCCTCTCGAGACGAAGGTAAGTGGATCCTATTTTATCAATTTGCGGAATAATTTATATGCGAGAGAAACTGATTGCCCGTCAAGGCGCAATATTCTTCACCGTTAACGTCACACTTCGCGTCCGTATACCGTGGCGTTATTGCGATTTAATCACGATCGTAGGCGAGAAGAACTCGAGCCGCGACCACGCGTAACACATGGCTTAATGAAATCATTCGGTACGCAATTTGACTCAATAATTTATTACGTGACCTTCGGAGGCGAGCGCAAGTAATTAAATAGTTGTCCAGCTGTGCGTGAAAATTCATGCGGTAATTTCGCGAGTGACTTTCTTGGCACTAGTTTTCAAATTAACAAATTAATAAAATTCGTACGGCTCAAATGTGATGAACACGAATTTGAGGGAATAAAGGACTTGGGGCCCGGTTTCACCAACGTTGTTTAACTTTAAGCTTAGCTTAATTCATTCTTTTCCAGCTGTTACTTTAGAAAGAGACAAGCATGAATTAAACTACGATTATAGTTAAGCGACGTTCGGCGAAACCGGGCGTACGAGCCGCGACAGGGTGTTAGTGTCTAAATACTTCATATTGCAAATTTATCGCGAAAAATATTACTTCAGCCGGGGTTTAAACCTGGACCTCCCTCTCCCTTCTTAAATTAAATGTGAAATAAAATCATGGGAAATAGTATGACACGCCGCGAATAATAAGTATACCGGGGTGTTGTGTCAAGTTTCCGAATCTTCTGATTTGCATTCGGATTAGCGTATATACTTGGAGACTTTCCGCGCTCGAATCGCCGTGCGGTGCTCACTCGTGAGGCAGCAATCCGCTTCGGCGAGCGATTTTTCGGTCAAACATCCTCACAGCGATACCGTCGAGCGCACTCGCGTGTGTCAGCCTAAACGAATGCGGCGAACTTAAGGGACGACGGATTCGCCGAGAATGTGCTGAATGGTTGACTCATCGCGTGCAGCCGGGGGTAAAAGGATGCTGAGATATGCTTACCGAGCTCAAAGCTTCTTTGAGGGGCAGACGGGGGTGGAGTAAGGAGGACGAGGGACGAGAGGCACGCCAGCCACGTGACATTCTCGATTGAGAGGCAGGGGCCGAGGGGCGGTCGAGGGAGCCCTTGCACTCTTTTATGGAAATTAAGGACGTGATTTCGGATTCCCACGAGTACAAGTTTCATCCTTCTCCTTCGCCTGCTCGCCGTCCCGCTCGTTGTCGTGTTCTCTCGGTGGCAGCCTCGTGACTAAGCGCCGTACCCCCTATTTTTAGATTCCGTGCCACGCACACATATGTAACGTCGTATGAATACGGTATCGATGGATTTTGCAAAATCAATATCGACGACCACGTTTACGGGTCCTATATTCAATGTACGGACTTCTACTGTCATGTAACTACGCTTTTTCCTCTCGTTCCTCAAACTTTTTCGAGTACACTGTCTACTAGACGAAAATTCTCTCGGCTCCCTCTCTCTCCCCCTTCCTTTCTCTTGCGCTCCGTTATGCTTGATCCGCGAATTGTGAAAGTTTTAAATCTTATCAAATATTTACGGCATTTGCGATGCGTGCATGCATCTATTTGCACCATCGAGTGATCCGTTGCCAAGAAAAGCTTTACAGGATAAACTGCGCCTCGCCCCGAGTCGAAATTTTGGCACATGTTGAACCTTTAATTCTATTATATAGTAGGATCTAAGATAGTAAAGGAGGTCGAACTGCAAGTACAAAATTTACTCCTACTTTAAAACTGATAGTATCGGAAATTTCTACTTTTGTCAATTTAGCATTAAAATAGGTCCTTTTAAGGAGGAGCTAAAGTAAATTTTTGTAAACTTTAGAAGATTGCATGACCGTGTTTGACAAATTTTAATATTTAAACGTTTCGACCATGGTTTTCGGTTCTTTTCAAGTGATGGTCGCGTCAGTAAATCAGTATGGTAAATCAAAACAGCTGATCTTAATTTCACGAACAGTCTCAGTCACTGATTTACTGACACAACTATCACTTGAAAAGGACCAAAAACCATGGTCGAAACGTTGTTAGTTTAAATATCAAAATTTGCCAGACGTGGTTAAGTAATCTTCTGAAGTTTTTAATTACTTTTGGCGACTTATAAGATTTCCTCTAAATTTTTAGAATTAAGGATTCAAGGTAGGAGTAAAAATTATAATATCATCAAAGTAGGTTATTGCTGGTATATGTAGGTGTATAGATCAGCTAAGTAGGTGTAAATTATCTTTAAAAATATCAAAATAGTACCAAAATTTCGACTCGGGGCGTTTGCACTAACAGTCTGCATTTTACATCTCGCACCACGGCGAAAAGCGTGCGCGTTCCGCGTAGTTTACCATTCGCGACCGTTCGGAACGTTGAACTCGATTGAAACACGCCATATCTAAACGTGAACCAATTTCCCCGAGGCTCAGCACCTTAAGTGTATCAAACGAAACGCGTATATCGAACGCACGTATCGCAGTGCCAATTTAATCAGACGGTTCCCCGCCATTCGACAAGGAAGCGCTCCGGCCGTTGAACCGCAGAATGCCGTTTTTAGAAGCGGAATGGAAGTTAGAAAATAATAACCGAAAGTTGAATGCAAGTTCATTCGGCGGAAACTGCTTCAACCTGCGCATGCAACAACGATTACAGTGCGCCACGTCTGTTCCACCGATGCCGCGATGGCTTAGAAGTTAACGTCAGGCTCTCCCCGCGCCGTCGAATTTTTGGGAAGAAATGAAAACTGAAGTGTCAGCGATTTGTGGAGTACGAAACGAGATCGATAATAATCGCTTATAATTAATGATTTTTGTCTTTAAATCTTCTAACGGGCGTTTGTTCTTCGGAGACCAGACGCTTTCGCGTGAATTTTCATGAGCTTTTGTGAATACCGGCATTGTATTTATATTTACATATACACGGAGAGTTCTGCACTGTTATTTCGTTTCATATAACGTGGTTATTACCGATGTCGGCTCTCGTGCTAAAACTTATTCTCATGCGAATAACTGGCAAATGCAAGAGAAGCTGAAACTTTTATAAACACGTTAATGTATAGTTTTATAAAGCTTTTTCGCGTAATTGAATTATGATATCTTGTTACTCTAAAAAGGGAACAGATTTTAGTCAAGTTACGGATATTATTTTTAAATTGACTATCGTTGCTTCGCTTTTATTATAATCACGATGTTCAATAGATTGAGGAAAGATTTCGTTTTCAATATTTCAATTGGAAGTTAACGTCTGGCTTTCCCCGCGCCATCGAATTTTTGGGAAGAAATAAAAACTGAAGTGTCAGTGATTTTTAAGAGCTGCGAAATGTGGAGTAGCGAAACGAGATCGATAACAACCGCTTATAATTAATGATTTTTTTCTTTAAATCTCGAATAAGCGGCCGTAAAAATTAACCAACGTGTTATATCGTGGGATCGACGTCGGTTGGGCAGATAACGGGCAGTTCGTCGCCGAAAATGCGTCCTTGGTAGGTGGATTCATCGTAAACGCCCCCCCCCCCCCTCCCGGCTTTAATTCGCGGGAAGACTCATGAAAATAGAAAGATGGATAGTCCCCGGGCAATAGGGTGGGACAAGGGGTCAGGTAGATCGTACGAAAAAGATAATCGGTGGGGGGCAGAGACGTTAAAACTTATCGGCGCCCCTTCCCTTTATGCCTGCCGCCGATAGATGAGACCGGAACGGCGTGAGAAGAGACGGAGGTATAGATCGGGAAACCATCCACTCCGTGGTCGTGGCCCACGTGGAGGCGGTTACGGGGGATGAATAGCGGCGACCGGGGGAGGGACGGCGAGGGGAGGCCCGATCATGACTCCACAGCGCGCCGAGGAATTATGGATACCATTATACGAGAAAGATTAGAGGTCCTCGTAATATTTTTATTACCTCATCTCACACGTTACGTTAGTCCGCGTCGTCGGGCGAGGCTCACACACACACGCGCGCGCGAGCAACCGGCGCGTACACGGACGAGACACAAATTGCCGCGCGCGGTAGATCGCGACTTGAGAGATGGAGGTGGCGCGGTCCCGCATTAAGAAGAGATCACGGACGGTGAAAGAGACTATATACAGATTGCAGCGAGGCATTTGAGGCGCGGAAATCCGGTCTTGTTATCCCGTTGTAGGGAACAACAGGCGTCCAACTCGCAGCTTCATTTTAATACAAATTTTCGTATTATTTAATCACTCTCGAATAATCTGGAAATTCTGGAAAAGCGCCCGCCGGGGTCCTGTTTGCGCGGAAATAATGACAGGGAACAATTTTAATTTGTTCGCCGTTGACGTAAATATAAACTTTAAGAGACGTCGCGCGAATCGCGAAACGAATGAAATGACACGATTTGCAATAAAGACGCGATATTGACGTATAGCATTCGTGTGATGAGTTTAAAAGGCAAAT